CCCCAGTCTGGGTGGCTGCCCAATCTCCAGCCATTGCTGCCAGCATGAAGGCAGGTGTGGGAAGAAGCAGCGGCGGCAGGGAATGAGAGTGCCTTTTCAGCACCTGCACAGACTTCCATCAGTTTAAGCTGGCTGTGAGCCTGCACTCTGTAGCGGATGGAGTGAATCATCTGCCCCCAGTACCTCTCCTCATCTGTCAGCTAGAGGAGGCATTTACACAATTAGCTTACACAAGATCCTTCACTTTAAGGTTGCTGAATTGGGCTAAGATAAATTCCCCCACCAATTTGGGTATATTTTCATGCAAGTAGACATCCTGGGGGGACCAGAGTCTTTGAATGGATAGAAATGCTACCATCGTTAATTCCTGAAGGCATGGTAAATGTTTGAGAGTTAGTGTTGGTAAGTCAGTCAGGCACTGAAAGTCCAGAAGGAGATCAGGCACTTTCTTGCTAAAAGTCATTTTGAACAGGATCTGTTGAGTAAGTCACATCATGTACATGCAAAGACATGGTTCTGATGTGGTGGATAAAGCAAAATACAGAAAAGCTATTTTAAGTACACACCATTCTGTGTTTGAACTGCATGAGATAGGATCCTGTAGTAAAAAAATAGCGTGCAATGAAGTGGGTCTTGGTCAGCGTGCACGTGCTCAACAGTGAAAATACATTTAGGTGTGTAATGCATAACAGATTTGTCACCTCTTTGATGGTTTTGATCCATGCTTTTTATATGGTTGACATATGTTTGATATTTATGTGTGCGTATATGTATGTGTATGTATGTCTTGTCATAAAGTACTATGCTGTTGGGTTAAAGAAGTAAACCAGCCTTCACTGAGAAACACAAAGAAAAACATCACGTGCCAAGACTTTTTACTCCTAGACCGGTACCTCGAAATAGTGTTTGTGACAATGTCCTCTTAATGTTGGTGGGTCCATTGTACCGATACATGGAGATGCACACAGTTTACTGTCTTTTAAAAGGCAGTCTAGAGGCACTGAGTGCCTGAAATGATCCTCAGCTTGTATGCCGACACCAGTAAAATAGTTAAAGAGTTACTGGTATGAAGTGTGTTGTGAACAATGGAGAAATAATACACATTATTTTTTTCTTTTTCAAGGTGTTCATCTTTACTACGTCGGTGGGGAAGTTTATGCTGAATGTGTCAGTGACAGCAGTATTTTTGTGCAAAGCCGCAACTGTAACTACCAGCATGGTTTCCACCCAGCTACTGTCTGCAAGATCCCCAGTGGCTGCAGCCTCAAGATCTTCAACAACCAGCTCTTCGCCCAGCTGCTTGCCCAGTCCGTCAATCATGGTTTTGAAGTGGTGTATGAGCTGACCAAGATGTGTACTATTCGAATGAGCTTTGTTAAAGTAAGGATTCTTTTTTTTTCCTCCTGCATTATCTGAAAAGGCAAATCCCATCGCTTGCTAGCTTTGGTGCAAAACTAGACCCCATTAAATCCTTCCCAAGTGGGGATTTAGACATTCAGCTTGCAAATAGCAATTCAGACTGCCTCTTTTCCAGTATTGCCTTAAACTTCTAGGTGCTTAAAATCAGTAGCTTTTGTGGTCAACCTGGAAATTTCTTAGATTCCCAAAATTAGGTATTCCCTAGGCTTTTTGTGGAAAATAAGCAGAGATTGCATGGTGACGTTCCCCCATTGATTGCATAAAGAACTCAACTTAAAGGGCCTTAGCAACATGTAAATGTTGTAGCACATATCTTAGGCAGTTATGATCTCTCCTATTGTTACTGGTTTGCAGCAGAGCTTGGTAGAGCCATAGATCTGAAAAGAATGTCTTTGTGTCTCCAGACTAATTTACAATCTCATCATTACCATAGACTGGTATATATGGTCTCAGTCAAGAAACACTGGGTCCTCCTTCAGCCTCCACTGAGCTTGATGAGAATTGTTGTTTGCCACCTGTCTGATCCCTGGCAAGAGATTGTCTTAATTTCTGATTACTTTCTCTCTGGCCAGTCAGACGACCAGAAGGGCTTCTTGGAAGTAGAATACAAAACCCAAAAGAACATCTGACCTTCCTGCTGTTACTTGGAAGAGACAGAAGGCCACCAAAGCCATGACTGTTTCCTTGTCTTTCATATCTGAACTTTGCAGTCTGACTGCTCTGTGTCAGATGTATCAGTCTTTGTGAGAGTTTCTTCAATCTTCTGAATGGGCTTCTCATCAGAATGAGATCTCTTGACTCCTTTTAGCACTTAGGATTTACTTAGGTGCCTATTGTAGCATCTAAACCCCAGAAAATGGTGAGTATTTCAAGACTGTTTATAGATGCAGTAGACTGACTTCCTATAGTGATGCTGGGGAGAGCTGGCAGCAATGTTCAGCCCGCAAACTAGACAAGTTGCACCATTAGAAGTCCGTTGGTCCTGTTAGGTACCATAAGAAGTGGCTTGAGTACGTCCCTTTGTCTTGCAGGTTTGCTTCTATACAAATGACTGAATCAAGCTGATTGAATTCACATCTAAGATACTACAAAACTGTTTGAGTCTTGAGCTCAGTTCCCCTATGTTCTGCAAAGCAGAGGAGTTGAGTCCCACGCAGCTTTCTGGTCTGACTCTTTCCAGCCATCCTTGGGGACCCATCTTCTTCACTCTCTGAGGGCATTAAAAGTGCCCTGTAACTTCTCCCAAGAGTCCAAGCCAAAATCTCCCTGCCCATGACCACACTATTCCTTTGTTCTTGGGAAGGAACTGACATCTTGTTCACACGCAAGCATTAGTGCAAAAAAAGAAAGCAAGAAACCCAACAAACAGCGTTTTCTTTAACGGAAGACATGAATGGGCATGTTGTTTGTAAAGGCAGTGTAGCCAGTTACACAATATTTTCATTATCTCTGCAACTCAGGGGCAGTTCTTTGATGTGTTATCTGCCTCCTGCCCAGCATGGCAGCAGAAATGATGGTGTTGCTGCACTAAATAATGCTGCTGCTCTATTATCACCTTGCTTTGTTGAAACAATAACAGCCACTATAGTGCCTCAGGCAGCAGAAGACCAGTGCAAGGAGTTATTTTGAACCCTTTCCCATGACCTTTGGAAAATGGCTATGCAAATCTCATCTAGGTTCTTCTTTCCTGGCCTGTAAAAACCCTTTCCTGTACTCAGTCTTCTCAAATTATTTCTCTCCCAAGGTGTGAGCCCCGATGTGTTCAGTCTGGGGACAAGAATGCCCCTGGGTGTTGGGTATGCAGTGCACAGAGGAGCAAATTGTCTGTCACAGCCACACACCAAGAGCCCCCAGGTACAGGGCAGTCCTATGCCTTCTCCCCATATTCGTGTCCAGATGCTGCTGGTCACCTACAGCCCATGGGGCAAGCAGAGCCAAAGGGCTGGAGACCCTGCCTCCTACCCCGCCAATGCTTGAGGTGCCAGCTGGGAGACAAGGATGAGTAGGGACCAGAACATGAGAAACTTGCCAGGACTGTATCATCTTCTGAAGTCAGGACATGGGACAGAGGGAGGTGAAGGTGCTGTCTGCTCTGATACCCTTCGTGTGCCTGCGGAGCAGCTGGGAGGAGCTCAACCCTCAGGCAAATGTGAGTGTATCATCAGTGAGAGCAGACAGCAGTTTCCATCCACGGAGTGCTGCTGATAATCAAAGCAGGATTGCTGTTGTCCGCTCTCCAGAGATGAGGCAGCAGAAGCACGAAATAGAGAGACGGAGAGTTTCTCCAAGCCGAGGTCTGAACCCAGCACCCTCCATCCCACATTTCTCCAGGTCCTGGGGATAAGGGGATGACCCAGCAGACTTGGCTGTGCTCCACCGCACAAAGCAGCTCAGCACTCTGGGACATGGCTAGAGCCTGAGCTGGAGAGAGCTGTGGCCCACAGGAGGTGAGAAGGGCTGGCAGGAGTAGCAGGACCCCTCAGTTGATCTCGCCCATGCCAGAAGGTGCATTTCTGGTCTCCCTACGGGGGTATCGATATCCTCTTCCTACCGTTTGCGCAAAACAGCTTTGCAAGTTGTTCTCGTTTTATTCCCTCATTAAGACACCTCCACCTCCGGGTTCATTTCAGCCCTGGGGATGACGGAGGCTACCTTTGGCCCAAGAGTGATGTACAGGAGGCACAGTGGGTCCTGCCCTCCTGGCATTTCCCCTGATGGGAGCTCCAGCCAGCAGCCTGAGACAACGGCCCTGTGAGTGTTTGCCAGCAGAGGGAGATGGCCACCCACCTGCACACCCTGCCAACGCTCCTCCACATCGGGCAGGTTGGGCTTCCAACCTGTAATTCCCATTCCTTTAGATTTTCCATCCTGCTGGTCAGCAGAGGTGCACCGACTCCTCTGACACTTGCCCTTCTGGCCATGTATCTGCACTGCAGTTGAGTACTTAAGACTTCACGAACTCAGACGTCTGCGCTGATTTGAAGAGTGGCATTTTATGCCAACGTTTCCAGAACATTAATCTCCGGTGCCTGCAAACACAGGCAAAGGGCCTCATAAATGGTCTGCAGGTCAGAAAAATGCTGCCTGTTTAAAAGTACTCTTTGTGCTTTGGTGGGTCTGTATCTTACTCTTCTGCTTTCTTCCCCCTTTTCTTCATTAAGTAGAAATGGATTTTATCCAGATCACTTATTATGGCATCTAGTTTTGATGTTGATCCTAGTTTTGCAGCTGATCATCTAGAGAAGTGGGTTCTAGCAGCTTCACTTGTCTTGAGTTGCTCAGCACTCTACAATTCAGGTACCTTTGGCAGGCTTCAGTCTTCATATAACTCCATGTCCTTTTTTCATGACGAGAATGTCAATCCACCTGATTAGCGTAATGATAGGTAAGGCTCAGCTTCTCTGATCAGCGGCCCACAAATGAAGAGCCTCATCCTGTAGTGGCACCACGTTTTGCACATTGCCCTGTGGAAATCCGAGTTCAGTTCTGGCAGTGAGACAGCTGGTGAGCTGCGAGACTTTGGGCTGTCACTTGGATGTCTTTTGTTGTTGAGAAATCAGGCTGCGGGCTTAACAAGCAGACACGGTGCCCACTTGAGGCGCAGCGACTTCTGGTTCTTTTTTCTCTCTGCCAGCACCACATTCCCATCTTCTGTCAGATGCTCCTTATTTCCCTGAAAGAGCTGGAGGAATTACTGCAGGACTTCCCAGAGCAGACAGCCGGGAACTCCCATGGGAACAGAGGACACATTCAAGGATAGAAAACCTATGGAAAATGTCTATACATAGGTTAAGTATGATACGTAGGAACTTTGCTGGAAGTTTCAAGAGGTTCAGATAAATACCTAGAACTTCTAGAGTCTCAGACTCGTAGGATGCATCTCTACCAGCAAATGAGGCAGTGCTGAGGATCATTCCCGGTTCCTGTTAAAGTCTTTTGACAGGGCCTGGGCTGCTTTTCGTCTGTGCCAGACAGCAGTCTGGCAGGCTTTCCTGGGCACGTCTCTGGGGTGCGAACAGCAGGGACCATTCCCCATGGGCTGTTTGCAGGCAGCCAAGCTTGGAAACAAGCCTTTTCATGCTAGTTGGTCTCAGCACCTGGAAGTGTGACTGAGCATTCTTTATTTAATAGTATGGAGTCCCTGATAACTCTGATAGCAATGACCTTAAAAAGGAGCAAAGTTTCTAGAGAAAATTATCCCTAGAACGAAGCATTAAATCTTGGGAACTGGGGTGATCGAATACCTGTAGTTGTGTTAGACTGTCAGCACTGGAGTTATGATTTAATGTTGGTTGTTGTTTTTTTTTTAAACTCACTTTTCGGTTCTTTGATGCTTTTACAGGGCTGGGGAGCAGAGTATCATCGCCAAGATGTTACAAGTACGCCCTGCTGGATCGAGATCCACCTGCACGGACCATTGCAATGGCTGGATAAGGTGCTGACACAGATGGGCTCACCTCATAACCCCATCTCCTCGGTCTCTTAAGAATCATCTCTAGAATTCCCTTAGGATGGATGCTATTGCAGGCAGTGGCTTATAGGATTTCCAGTGAACAGAAGCTTCTATATGTAGATGTATGTAGATGTAAATATATCTATACATAGTCTACTCTCCTTTTTTTTTTTTTTCATGCTACGTTTTGTGGTTTCTAGTTACTCTGATGCCAGTACAATAAGTTTAGAAATTCAGGTATAGCATATCTGTTCTCTAGTACAAGATAAGCCAAATTCCTGCAAAAGTGTCAAACATTTCCTGTGAGCATTTTCATTCCCCAGCCAAACCAGTAAATGGTGCAAATTCTCAGCACTTTCGTGCAGATTCAGAAACCTGGCTGAAGGTGTTCCTAGTAGGTGAAATTCACCCCTCTGCAGGCAACCAAAGTCAGATCTCTACACCATTTATATCCATTTTACATCCTAATTTCAGGTCTAAAACAGGACCTTAGGTGGTGCACAGAACTTATGCACAGAGATGACTTTTATCCAGTGAACTGAAGGTCTAAACTGCAATTCCAGTCTGTCTCCCTACTGCAAAGCACGATGGGACAACAGATCCTCTGAGGAGCTGAAGGCACTCCTGTCTCCCCCTGGGATTTGGCAGGAGGAGAGAGCCCTCGGGACGCGTTCAGCACTGGAGCCTTATCACAGCATTCTGGACACATCCGAGTACTGTTAACACAGTACTGTACGGTACTGCTGCACTGAAAAGGAACAAGCTTCTAAGGAAAAAAAAAAAAAAAAAAAAAAAGAAAATTTGAAATATATGCCTATAAGTTTGAAAACTAATTAACTTCCAGTGCTTTTTTGCAAAGTGCATACAAACTTGCATATATATCCGGCATGTAAACTGAATCCTAGCCATTATACAGTATTGATGTAGTTTGTTTTAAAGTTAGGACTGTCTGTAGTTAGACTACTGTGCTGATATCAAGGGTACGTCTAAAAGGGACTTGAACTGTGATTCAGAAAAGGGAAATGAAGTGTGCATTGAAGAATCAAATAATTACCTTATCATCCATCTTGAGACAGTCTCCTGGGAACAGGAAGCCCCACGCTCATGGGATGCAATGGGAAGGAGGTGGGAGTCAGCCACGTCCGTCCCCTGTGCTGGGCCAGTCCGCTCCCTGCCAGTCACTTCGTACATCCCCAGGGATGGATTCTCGTCTTAGATACAGGTTTCATCATTTGCAGGGCTTTTTCCTCAACTGCAGAGGATGGTAAGGCAGTGCAAGCTACGAACAAGGGAAGAGGGAATCTATGTGCAGAACCTTTTTTAGAAGCTCCTTGTCTGTGGTCCTTCTGTAAGCAGGGAAATCTATTGCCCAAACTCATCCACAGAGCCAACCTTACAAAATGCTGTTCACTTGGTGACCTTTTCTGAGGAGGCAGGTGAAACTCTTACTGCATTTTGATGAAAGGGTAGAGGATTATTTTTTCCCAGGCATAACAGTCTGCTGAAAATTGTTTTGCTTTAGTGGTCAGAAAGAGTGGTAGCTTCTCCAATCTCGTTCCTCCTTAGGACACACCAGAAGTATCCTGAGGAAAAAGAAAATATGTTTTACAGAATGTTTCTTTTTTTCTCACACAATGTCTGGTGCTAAACATTTTACTGCATAATTAGAAGAAGATGCCTGAAATGTTCAGCTACATCACATAAGCAAAGGAAATAACATTCACTGGAAAGACTTTCCATGTGTTTTAGATGCTATGTAATATCTGTTACGGGGTGGTAATTACAAACAGAGCTGAAGAATCAGTAAACTAGCAGGGTTACTTCATTTGAATGCATTTTCAGCTGCCTGCAGAATTTGTAAGGCACAGAAGGATAAATTATTGTTAAGTTTGAGCAGTAATAGCAAGTTGTATGGGAAATTTGTAAATGCGAAGAACCCTATTCTGTCACCATTTGACATCAGCAGTGTCACTGTGGGGTAGGAAAGGCTTTACAGTCTCCTGCAGCAATGAAATCCAATAATAATGTTACACAGAAATTCCAGACATGCCATTTACTGTTTAGCCGACTTGAGAGAGATCAGTTTGGAAAAAGACATTTTCCTCAGCTCAGTCTGTCATCAGTGTCACTGTACTGAGGTGCTGGTAACACGGTTTTTACTGTGTTTGCACCCTTTCTTTAGTAATCTTTCTCTGCTTTTCATGTTGCTCATCCCTTTGCTTTCTTAGCTGCTAAGGACAGAGAACATCACCTCTCCTGTCCAGGATCTAGCTCTGTCCTTTTATCCTAGATTCTTCCTTGCCTTTTAGGCTGAAACCTCCTTCCCTCCTAATAGAGAGAGAAGCCTGGGCCTTGCTTTTAGACATTTCCAGCATCGTCACCTTCCTTGCAGAGAGCAAAGGAGGACGTTCAGAGGCGCATCTGCTCTTGGGCAGCTCCAGAACCCAGTTTCCTGCCAGTGCTGCAGAGGAAAATTGGATGGCCAGTGAAGAGAAGCAGGTTCTTCTGGGGTATCATTTGTTTCATCATAAAGCAGGTATTTCAGGTAGGTGAGATAGGAGAGGAACTCAGTGTCAGTATCATCTCAAATGTGGACTGCTACATTGGACATAGCCAAAAGTAGGTGAGGTCTGCCCTAGGGAAGATGTGGTGGCTTTCCCAGCCTGGTAATGATGCTTGCTCAGTAAGTGTCTGTGTTGTTTAAATGGAAGTTGGTAAATTCAGAGCAGTTTTGCCTTTCTTGTATGCCTACTTTTATAGTAATCCTCATACAAATAGGATTGGGATTCAGTGCAGTCTACACATGCATTTTATTAAAGGTAGTCACCTTAATATTCCATTATTAGTAAGTAAAGAAGCATTTCTGGAGCATGATTCTTCTGACCTATTTAAAATGTCTGCATTAGGATGAGATGAATTTCAGCAAATTTAACTATTTGCCGAAAGTTGGATCAAAGCCCCCAAATCTGGGCAATCAAAGCTGACAGCCATCTCAGAGTTGTTAACCTTTGGGAAGGCTGGTATCGCTGTGTGAACTATTTCCTATTTTGGTGGCCTCTAGGGCCTTAGTCCACGCTGTGAGATGCTGTGCACACTCACAGCAGCTGACAGCTCCTTCCCAAGAGAAGGGGAGAACTCACATCCCAAGGAAGAAGTGGTAACAGTGGATGAGGCAAACAAGTGAATCGGAAGATGCTCCCTGCCCAGATGCAGTGATAAAAAGTAAGGCTAATAAACCATTTATTTCCCTTTCTTTTTGAACAAAGTCTCTCTTACAGGCTTCTCTAGTATATGTGAATTGAGGTCAGTTAAAAATTCAGGTTTCTCATAATTTACAGCACTGTAACTTTGTATCTCACTCTAATGTCTCCCCATTTTGGATGGAGATATTTTCTGCTGAAAGGTCTTCGTGAACCTATCAACCTGTAGTCCATTGAAAGCCTTTAAATGTACTCATTACTACCCAAGCTTTGGAGATAGGCTTCCTGAGAGATTTCAAACCACTTACAGGGAGACTACTTAGTCAAAGGCAGATTTTTTAAAATGTTTTTTGAGCCATCAACAGTTCAAACCCTCTTGCAAGTTTCTGTGGAGAAGTACCATGCATCAGCAGGTGGCGGTGGGAGTTTGATCAGGTAGAGGCATAAAGCACATTCATTATGGTACATGGCCCACTTATTTTCCTATTAAGTGGTCAAGGGAAGAAGACTGCTTAATTGCCGCCAGTTCTTCAGGAGCACCGGTATTAACGTGCCACTTGCATCCAGAGGGGACAGAAGCAAATCTGCCACACTGACGGCATGGAGCCATTCAGTGACACCGCTGCTTTGATGGTTCAGTCCCGTAACCTTGCACCGTAAGAGCTGATCAGGTACGATATAGCAACGGCTGTAGCGTTCAGAAGTGCAGCACGTGCTTTGCCTCCCCATCAGAGGCTACACCACAAGCATCTTTACTCCTCATGAGCATTTCTCGTTTTGCCGTGCTCAGTCTGAAGGATAATGTATCGGCAACACGAAGGGGAACTGCAGCCCCAAGTAACATCAACTGGAGTCAAGGAAATTCCTTCCGTGTCTCCAGCAGGTACTGTGTGGAGACTTTCACTGCCCTGAGCACCCTTCGCCAAGTGCTCCCTGCCTTGACCAGGGCGTCAGACCTGATGCCCTGCAGAGATCCCTTCCAATTTACAGTATTCTGTGGGTCCGTGCAGAGATTCAGTGATAACTGGTTGTCACAGGCAGGAATTCTCTGTTAGCAGAGGTATGTTTCAGGATGAAGCCTGTTTATCCTCAGCTATTTCTGCATGAGTTCAGCGCAGGACAGAGTTAGGAGGTATTAATGTTCCCTCAGCATAAAATCAACACCGCAAACATGTCTTACTGTAAACATCATCTCCACCGCTCAACACTTAAAATGGAGAAAATCAGGCATTTCTGACTGTAACTTCATCTACCCTGCCCTTGTTCTTCCTGGCTTACAACACTCACCTTTGCCTGAAAGCTCTACGAATCAGAAAGTCTCACCAGTGACTGAGAAGTTGCACAAACAGCTGGATTTACAGAGGCAGCTCAGGCAGAGACTCTTTGCTTCTTGGCTGGATGGAAACGATTTATAAAGAAGCCTGCTCAAATTTAGTAACTTTGAAGGAGCATCAAGTATAAGGCCAATTTTCTTGGCTCATTAGAGAGTTCTCTGGTGCAGCTATAGCTTTCAGGAATACTTGAGCGCTACATAGTGCTCAGCACAGGAAAGAAACATTACATCCTCTGTACTATTCACGTCTGTCCCCTGGCTCCCCATAACCTAACTTAGGAAAACCAAAACCAAACACAATAAAGATAGATTAATGAGTCATAGGGTAGAGTAATCAAATACCGTTTTTCAAACTTGAGAGGTGCTGTCCAGAATATAGATTTATATTGTCAGAAAGGTACCGAACGTAATATGTCCCGTGGGCTCTCCAAGCCAAAGGCGAGAGCTCCTTGCTCTGGAGAAGCCCAGAGAGCAGGCTGTTACTTGAACATCTGAACCCAAGCCCTTCTGCG